TTTGGACCGTTCCGGATTGATGAATCCTCTAAATCAAACACCTTAAGTTCGATTTCACTGTAAACCGGAAAGTTATCGGCAAACGGGTTTCAAAACCTGTCGATTCACTAGTGAACGTTGTCCGAACAATAATTTTTACTGTCCTAACTCAAAAATTTCAAAAATATTTCTTATTTTGAAGCGTTTCGTTTTTTCAAAAATCAAGGAAGTTCGGTTTTTGGTACCCAATTAGTTCCAACCACTTCCGAACTAAACTTTAACGTTTCTACCTATTATAAAATTATAGTTACGATGTAACTCACTAATTTAACGCTTTTTTCCGTTTCAAAAAAAATCGATATCTCAAAAATCTCGATTTGTGGGGGGATCAAAATATCGCTATTTTGACCCTAAAAACCGGTATATGACTATTAATATAGGCTGTATAAATAATAATACTAGCAATACTATACCCCTCCGGGTTTGATCAATCTCCGAATTATGTGCTTAACTCGGAAATTCGCAAATCGGTGAAGGGTCACTAAAGTGCAGTCACTGTCGAGCCCCCCACACAGTAATATATTACTTTCTGTACCAAAAGGGATACAAAACTTTTAACGATACCCAACAGTCGATTGTTGTTGTCTCTGAGCCCCTTCTTGTCGCTCCTTGAACTGCTTGCCGGATCAGTCTTTTTCTCTTTTCCCGAGACCCTTCCAGATCGAGCGCAAATTAGCGTTAACGTGCTTAAATACTCAAATAACCTTACAGTACAAGCACCACAAATGGGCCACAAAATTGATCGTAACAATCCTGACTGATATAAATGCCTGTAACAACAATATATCTAACAACAACAAACAAGAGGGTCGGATCACATCTCGTCTGGGGGGATGATTTCTACTGATTTTATATTTTTTTTTACTGTTTTTGGTTTTTTCGGTTCGTGAAATCTGTCTTAACTAGGTTAAAAAGCTATTCACGGGAATCCGGAAGGCTTCCGCGTTCCGAACTACCCTTCCGCCCCGGTGTTTAGGGCGTTGTTTTGAGCATCCGCTCGGCGCGGAATGCTCGTTAACGGTTCTGCCGGTCATGATGTTAAAGGAGCGCCATAAAAACATCTATGTAACATTCGTCCGGAAGTACATATCGACGAAAAATAAAGCGGGTTTCTAAAACCTTTGGCTAGCGTCTAAACACAGCTCTACATGCTTTTCACCGTCTCTGCCAAAGCCAGTTCTTTTGGTGGTTTTCCTAACATCGGGTCGACAAAACGTCACTGCTTTCCGGCTTCGACCAGAACGCTCAAATTAACTCAAAAATATGCAAAAATAGTGATTTCATGGCTGGGTCTCAGTATACCCAGACAACGAGGTCACTCCTAAAAACAGGGCTATTTTATTTATTATATCACGATTGTTTTTGTTCAGTAGATAAAAATCATCATCTCCGTCGAAAATGGATCAGCCCTTTCCCTCACTCCTAGCTTCTCATTCTCTGAAAATGAATCGAGATGTTAACTAAATTCAACTCAGGACACGACCAGGAAGCTAAAAGTTTATATTTATTAGTTTGAGTCTTGGGCCCGAGACCCCTCCGGATTCTGGAATCCGGGGAAATAGCACTCCTATTTCTTTCCGGAAGGCTGGACACGCCGTCCCAACACCCTTCCCTTTTCACGGGCTCTACGTTGTAACGATTGTAGCGGCACAATCGTTACAACTCGGAATGGTTCCTGACAAATTCCAATCACAGTTTCAACCTGTTGTCATTTTCTCGTTGTTGTTTTCACTGCAACTATTGTTGTTCTGTTTCGCCGTTTCAGTGTGTGCGAAATATAAAAAGGTTACGTGTCGTTCACAATCAAATCGAAATTTTAAAAATTAGCATGTCAGTTAAAATGAACCCTTCCCGTTTCGTCTAATCGTTCAAATAACGCTGCTAATCCATCAAAACAATCAGTCTTCCAGGCTAGATGTTATTTTTCTGATCGATAAAATTTCGATTGCGAAACTAGTAGTAGTAGTAGTAGTAGTAGTAGTAGTAGTAGTAGTAGTAGGATAGGCTTTGGGATTTCTCCATGGGTTTTGAACCCTCGTTTATAAGTTCATAATTTTTCCCGGTGGGTTGCAGTTTCCACACCAGCAAAGAATTCTCCACATACACAAGTTGTTTTCTGCAAAATTTCTGTTGAAGAATTTCCAATAGGTGTTTGTTATAGATATTTTCAGGCTGTCATAATCTTGATTTTCGAAGTCCGCAATTTGGCTAAAGTAGTTGTATAGCGTATTAGAACGTATATAATAATTTTCATTTGACTTTTTCAGTCTTGTTGCATGAACAGCAATCTCACCACGGGTCTGTTCGTGATTCGTTTTTATGAATAATTGTATTCAAATCAATGTCATGTTTATTTTTTAGTAGTGAAACTAAGTACAATATGTCGTGTAATTCAAAGTACATTGAGAGTGGAAGGAGCTTTAAAAATTTCAGTCTTTCAGTATAACTCATTTTGAAGTTATTTGTAATCCAAGAAATCACTCGTTTTTGTACTCTTTCTAGTTGTCTTAATTCTGATTTGTTCGGATACCATGTTTGCGATGAATAGCTTATGATTGGTACAATGTATCCACAGTATAAGTTTAATTTTGACTTTAATGATGTTTTTTTCGAGATATTCCGTTTGATTTTGTAAAAAGCTCCCATTGCTTTTGATATGCGATTTTCAGCATTTACTGACCACGAAAGGTTGTCACACATTAAAATACCTAGGTCTTTTTGGGTCTTTGCGGTATCAACATTTGTATTAAATAGTTTAACTTCCATTTTCCCTTTGAGGTTTAACAGATTACATTTATCTTCATTCAGCGGCATTTTATTTTCTTTGCACCATTTTTCAACATTTGTCGTGTCTTTTTGCAGATGAGTTTCTTTAGTAGACAAGATCTTCATATCTTCAAAATAGCCAAAACCATCTGAATTCTCAATGCATTTGGGAAAGTCGTTAATGAATATGATAAAAAGTAGAGGGCCAAGAATTGAGCCCTGTGGTACACCGCTAGTTACTTCTTTCAAAGTTGATGAACTTTTATTGATTTTCACAAACTGCATTCTATCTGTTAGATAGTCTTGTATTATGTCTTGTATTTGAATGCCTAGACTTGTGTTCCGTAGTTTAGCGATTAGGATACTATGAGGAACTTTATCAAAGGCTTTAGAAAAATCTAGATAAAGGACTGATAGTGTTTGAACATTTTTGTCATCGTTGAGTTCAAATACTTTGCTCAAAAATTGAACCATTTGAAGTACTGCTGACCTTTAATGCCGAAAGCCGTATTGTGCGTTTTCCAAGAAAGGTTGAACTTTGGGGTATATATTATCAAAGATATTTTTTTTCGAAGACCTTCGAGGGGAGCATAAAAGGTTAATTGGGCGGTAGCACTCAACTGACACCTTGTTCTTTTCTTTAAAAATTGGGGCTATTTGACTTGTTTTCCAGTAGGTCGGGAAGAGCCGCTTGTTAATGAATGTGCGGAAGAGAAGATAGAGCAATTTTGACAGAGTTTCAGAAAAATTTTTTAGGATTATTTTACCTATACCATCAAAACCTGATGCTTTATTTGTTAAAAGATTTTTGAGAATGAAATCGATTTTGGTTTCTTCAATGTGTATTTGTGTACAGATTTCTTCTGTAGGAGAACAGTTTGTATTTCGTGCGAGAGGGTTAGGATTTGATTCCTTTTGATTTACACCGATGAAGAATTCGTTAAAAAATGTAGCTTTTTGGGTGTCATCACAAGTGGATTTTTCCTTGTAAAACATTTTTTGGGGATATTGCCCGGAACTACTTATTTCGTTCAAGTATTTTTGTATGTCACTGAATCGTCTACTGCTTGTTACTGTTTCTTCGTAAATTGCTTGATCTTCAGTCAATGCTGTTTGAAGTTTTTTTTTTCCAGTTTTTTGTGTTTTAGGAAAAGGCTTAAAGTATGTTTGTTTGAAGTGTTTAAAGTGTTTAAAGTTTGTTTTTGCCAATCAATACGCCGTTTTAATGTTTGTACTCTTTTTAGCATGTGAGACGTACTTGGTGTCACCCACGGGGGAGAGTTGATCTGCCTGATGTAACCTTGGGTACATTGTTCTTTATTTTGTCCAATAACCATGCATACCACTGACGCAGGAGCTCATTTACGTTACTGTAACATTACGGTATGAAAGGTACCGTAAGGCATTTTCGTACAATCTGGTCGAATGTCACAAACAATTTTTAACTGTGATAATGGGGATGTCCAATGTTCTCAATCTTTTGAGTATGTCTGTGGTGTTGGTTCGTTTTAAGTATACTATTGCTGCGATCCGGTGACGCAGTCCGTGGAGAGTCGAAAGCAGTAGTTCTACTGAACAAGGTTTACAACTGTTGCTGTGGTGGGGGGCCACAGTATTGTTGATCAAGTCGTGCCACAGACTAAGTTTGTTTTCCTTCTTCTGGATCGACTGGTAGTTCTTTTTTGTAGCAGGGTTGATGCTCAATCCTCATACTGATGTCTGGATGGGGAATATTTTTCGTTGGAAATTTCTAGGGGATGCGTCGATGGCCGCACGAAAAGAGCTTGCGCCAACAAAGTGCACCATAAGTCTTCAACTGCAACACCTAGAGCAGCAGGACTTTGCTGTTTTTCCGTTCAATAATGCGATTTTAGATTTAGCTCTAGGGCATATATCTGAAAATACACAGTTTGTATACGGGGAAAGGAATTCTATTTTTAAAAGTTTATCACAAATGTTACATCCTTTTGTAATACTTTGAACAAATTGAATTATATTACTGGCCGTTACAGTAAATTTTTTGCAGTAATTCTGGCTCATGTTTTGCCTGGCAAGAGGAGAGAAGTTCCTCTGTGTTCAATATTTGCTCAAATTAAACGTTTATAGCCGGAAAAAATGGCGATTAGAAACTCATACTGATGAGAATTCCGTTACCCTCAGGTTAGAATGTTGGAGTGTTTTCAAAGAGTATTTTCAGGTTAAAATGGATCGCACGAAAACATCAGTTAACAATTGATAACATGAAGTAAGCTTGCTTCAAACAGGTGTACGGCAAATAAGACGACAACCTTTTTTGTTGGGAATTTAAGACGACGCTACACACAACTATACATAATAAATTGCTTAAATTGAAACAGTTCATTTATAAAAGTTTTACCGCTCATTTGTTGTCTTTAATGTCCTGTCGTCCTATTAACGTAGCACCTTTCAAACTATCTCAAATTACATTGCGACTTTCTCCGATAGCAATGCAAACTTGAATGTTTTTTTTTTGCATAGTGAAGCGTTATGTTAATCGTTAACAATCCAGACGGCGAATCTCTAATCGAGCGGCCACAATGGTTTCAACATTTTGAACAAATTGTCTGTTATGTCAACTGAGCATGAAGATTTGCTGCAACCAGGTGCAGTAATTAAAGAGCGATGGCAAATAGTAAGTTCAATTTTTTCGATAAGATTTATATAATTTAAACCTTTAAATCTCTGCAATTTTTAGTACTGGTTTAGAAGCATAGTCCAGTTTAAATTTTAGTTTAGAAGTATGGTCAGATAAAAGTCAGACAAATCTTTTTTTTTAAAAGATAGTTTCTCAGTTTAGCCAGTGAAGTGATTTTTTTGGCAGTTGCAATTTAAAGAAAACCTTAGTGGCAAACCCAACGACGAAATGTGCAAAGTTTCCTTTTGCTTGCATCTGTTTGACGTACTACAAACATTCCATTTTAAGTGGTTCGGCGAGATCACACTTCCAAACGAGCTTTTGAATGGGACTAATCAAAATCGGCTGACCATACTTCTAAACGAGTACCCAGTTATTTTTAAGCTTCGCGTGGGTTCAAACAGTGACAATATTACAAACATTTCGGTTCTTTTTTTATAATTGAATTAATGATAACAATTTTCTCTCGAACAGTTGAATTGCATTTATAATTGACGAATTCTTGCGTTTTAGATAGAGAAGATCGGAGGTGGAGGATTCGGTGAGTTTGATATTTGGCTCTATTTGTACACTCTTCATGAGCACCGCTTAAACCCTATTTTATTCGGTTAAAAGTATGAATCGTCCTGAGGAATAGCTCGAAGTTGAACGAATTCTGATCATGAAAGAATTTTACCCCTGTTTAGGCGAAATCTACCGGGCGCTAGATGGCAACACCAAGGAAATCGTGGCGGTGAAGCTAGAGAGTGCCAAGCAGGCCAAACAAGTTCTGAAGATGGAGGTGGCAGTGCTGAAGAAACTGCAGGGAAGGGACCACGTCTGTCAGTTCATAGGTCTGTCAGTTCAAGAATTTCGCAACTACTTTTAAAAGTTCATTGAAATCACTGTGTGAATAGATTTTTTGATCATGGGTTATTTTCTAATTTTTTTTTCAACAGCAACAGAAAGAAGTGTGAAATAGGACGAATTCTGCCTAAAAAATTGGTGGAACGAAATCTGTGCCAGTGCCAGTGCTTTATGCAACCGTGTTGCAATAATTGTCCAATAACTCCCGTGTCATCTAATAATAATGAAATCTATTACTAAACGATTGTTTTTTAGGTTGTGGACGAAACGAGTTCTTCAACTACGTGTTCATGTCACTGCAAGGGAGAAATTTAGCCGACCTTCGTCGAAGTCAACCCAAAGGCTGCTTCACCACTCACACCACAATGCGACTTCTATACCAAATGACGCACGCTATAGAGAGTGTACACGACATAGGATTTCTTCACCGAGATATTAAACCGTCTAATTTTGCAATGGGCGGGTCCCCGACTAACAAGCACAAAGTGTTCATCCTGGATTTTGGTCTGGCAAGGCAGTATACAACGGCTAATGGGCAGCTGAGACAACCTAGGTATGTTAAAGGTGTTTGAACAAATGTTTGTTCAGTATGGGTCTTCAGAGTTCTTTTTCAGCGAGATGAATATTTTGCCCTTCCAGATTTCACAAAAAGTATTCCAAAAATCGACCAGTTTTTCGATCTGATTCGTTTTGCATTGATTTCATCTGCACAGTTGCTGAACATTTAAACTTTGCATATGCAGTGAAAAATTGAATAAAAAACGCGAAAATGCGGCGGGTAATTGGAAACTATATCTTGGTGTATCGAAGAATTGATTCTATTTTTTTTTGCCTTTTCTTCAGGATAGAATTTCAGTAGGCTTTCACATGCCTCCTGTATATCCTCTCCTGATTTTCATAGTTCATCAAATCATTGTTGATCTAATGCGCTTGATTGAGTATAATTATATTTACATTGGTTTTTAGGAAAAATAAGTTCTTTCTTTGATATCCAGCTTTGCTCTCTTAGGTCCACTGCGGGATTCAGAGGAACTGTGAGGTATGCCTCTATGAATGCACACAACAACAAAGAGATGGGAAGACACGATGACTTGTGGTCTCTATTCTACATGATTGTCGAGTTCGTCACAGGTGCGGCTTTGGTGTACTGGCTTAGGAGTACTAGCTTAGAGCACCTTTAGCTTAGAGCACGAAGCTGCTAATTCGTTTAATTTTGAGATCCGAGACACAATGTATTTCAAACGACAGCTTAAAGTTCCGTAAAGTAAAATTTAAGTACTTTAGGGAATTCTAGAATGAAAAAAAAGTGGTTACTTCCACTGAAAGTCGTTATAAAAGTCGTTTGAATTTAAAGCATTTTTGTTTTCAGTAAAGTTTTGTTTTCATTTTTTGTAAAAGTTGGAGTGATGGTTAAGGTGTTTTTGAACTTTTCTATTCCGACGCGCTAAAGTTCTTCAATTCAAGTAACTTTAATTCAAATTAAGCGCTGGATTGTTTTGAAATTGTTTCAGGTTCCCTTCCATGGCGTAAGTTCAAACAGAAGGAGCAGGTGGGAAAGGAGAAGGAAAAGTATGACCACAAGCGGTTCCTAGAACACCTGCCACAAGAGATGACCACCTTCTACAACCACATAACACTACTCCAATACGAGACCAAACCAGACTACCAGGTGAAGAAGCACAGACTTAGGGGCGCCTGAAAACGGGCTGTAAAGTTTAATGGCGTTCGCGCAATGCGATTTCATTTTGTTTGTCAATGAACTGAATTTTACTGTGAATGGAATCTAAATTGCACACAATTGGTTATTACCCTTGTGATAATAGGTTGTCTATTATCGTTGTGTATTATCGCTAGGGTAATAGGTGTCTATTATCACGACTGAAATTCCTTTCAGTCGTGATTCGCCACTTGAGCCCTTGCAACCCGGTACTAGACTTTTTTCCATAATTAACTTTCTTACACTATAGGTGGTAGATGTAGATAGGTAGCTTTTGAAGGTAGTAGATGCAAATTTTCGCCTATGATTTTTTTCCCGACCATTTGAATCATGAGGAGGAACTTAGTATTCGGGTGTGTTTTAGTTTTTTCTTTTGTTTCCACGCAAAATCAGGTATCACAATGACTCATCGGAACGAGTCGGGTGATATACCAAGATGAAGTCCTTTCAGTCGTGATTTGAACGACATTAAAAAGTATCCAGAAAGTGTTCGCAGTAACCAGAAAAACCTTTTTCTGATATCGATTCATCTTTGACTGGTTATTTTGACGATTGCGATTAGCAAGCGTTATCAAATCGGAACATAGGCTTTTTTCGGGTTAACAACTAGATTAACAAAATACCAGTTGACTCACTAATGATGCTGCTGACTTGCTAAAATTTATGAAAATTCAAATTTAAATACCTGGTCCTTTTTACTACTCATGCTATATCTAGAACTCAAACCATTGTATGTGTAATTAGAGTTTTGACATTAATATTTTACTGATGGTTTTTCGGGTTCATGCTTGTCGACTGAAGCTCTTTTGGGGTATCGTTTCCAAATTATGTTGTCTGCTTTGCATACGCGATTTATGTAGCTTCCGTGGATCCTTTGTGGGTGTAACATGAAATTTTTTTCCGAAATGTTTTTTGACGAAAATTGCTGGCTGAGTTTTCAGCTTGTTGGATGTCGGCTTCAATTCTGTCGGCCTATTTGTTCCTTCAAACTTCAAGTATTACTTTTAAGCTAAATAGGATTTTTGCACCATTTTTTTAGAATGCCCAAATTCAATCCACTTAGACCTCTTTGAAAAACTTAATTAAATTCAAACATGAAAAAGCATTTTTTTTTGTTTTTTTTTTGTTTTGTTTTTCTACTTCCTTCTTCAATTGTAACATAGTTCGGAATTCTGTTTGCTTTTTTTAGCGTCTTAGTGCACTCATCCTGTAATTCTTGTATCGCAAGTGGTGCGAAGCTCAGCTTCTCCTCTGTGTTGAAATTTAAAAATAACTTCTCCGACCTCTTAAAAAAGTTGAAAAAAAAAATCATGAATTTTTTTTCTTTGTTGTAAAGTTTGTTCAAAACCTGATCTCGAGACGTCTTGAGAAGGATGCTGTTCTTTTTAATTCTTGTTGGGAAAGGTATTTGAAGTACCTAATTGAACCGCATTTTTCATGTTTTCAATCAATTTTTTGTCAATAGATTGTTCTTTTACTTTAAATGCTTGCTAGTCTTTTAATTTTGTAGAGCGATAACATTTATCAGCAAGAGACTCGGGTTTAGGAGGCGTTAAGTGCTATCATATCACAAGTTAACTTTAAAAATTTTTTATTCATTTTGCTCGTAATTTTTAGATACTTTTCATTGCAAAAGAACAAATTTAGTTTTTTTTAAACTATTTGTTTCCGTTCGCTTATTGTTTTTACGCCAGCGAGCAGCTAGAGTTTTAGCAATAAGCGTCTTCTTTTCTAACCTAACTCGCAAAAAAAGTATTCATTAAAAGTGTTCATTTTTGCTATAATCACGATCTGTAGCATTGGAAATTTCATAGCACCTGTTCTTGGCTTTATTTGTTGCTTGTGTTTCTTTTGGGTTGCGTCCGTGGCCGAGTGGTTGGTGCGTGAGACTCTTAGTTTTTAGGTCAAGTAGGTCGTAGGTTTACTATTTGTATTTAGTACATTTGATGCAAGTTAAACTTTTCGTTTTTGTATCTACCAAAATTGTCTGATGGCGAGAAAATGAGATGGACGACAGTGTTTTAGCCAGCATTATTCATTATGCTGCTTTTTGATAGCACGTGCTTTGACATTCGAAAATTAATAAGTTGATACAGTTGATGAATTTCAAAATTAATCAAATGAACCGAAAAAAGCTAATTGTTTCAAACAACATAACAAAAATAATAACTCGATTTCAGAAATTTTTAACTCAATATATCTTGCAATTTTTTAAAATGTATAATATATTCGTAATTTGGCTTTGTGCTTTCCATTTTATTTCATGCAAAGTTAGCGTGGATGACTTCAATTTGTTATATCCCAAACTATAATATGCAAAATTGTGTCTATTTGTGTTTGGTGCCTTGGCAATATGGTGAGACTCTAATTCTCAAAATCGCAGGTTCGAAGCGCATACGTAGCAAAGTTGTACTAATTCGAGACTTATTTCTATCTTGTCTCATTTTACTTTATAAAGCTGCTTTTTGTCGTGTTCTCGCTAGTGTTTGCGAAGCGAAGCTTCGCCGCTGTATAAAAAATCTCATGTTTTTCTGCTTTTAAAAAATCCCACGTTCGTCGTGTCTGCATAGGTTGTGTCTGCTTAGTTACCACTTGGTCATTTTTGTGCTAATCTAATGCTGCCCGTTATTCTGCCGCAGGTGAAAATATGAAATTAAAGGATATTAGTTTGGTGGCTCCGTATCGCAAGTGGTTATTGTGAGTTTCTGCTGAGTTAATTATAAGTTCATTGCATTGGAAATTTTTCTGAAAGAAATTGTGAATTAGAGGAAAAATAATCGTAACAATCTTGTAATTTACAGGGAAGTTTATATCGGTTTTGCGAAAGTACTGTGAAATTTTGACTGGAAAACATGGATGAAAGTTTGCAAGAGGCTCAAGTGTTTTTTTTTAGTTTTTTCACATTTGCGATAAGCAAGCGTTATCAAACTGGAAGAGAGACATTTTTAGGGTTAACAATGAATTCAAACTTCAATGAGTGTTCGGTAAATAGCCTGAAGGTGAAGAAAACGCCTAGTACGGCAAAGGTCGTGCGTTCGAATCTGACCAGGAACTGTTTTTTTTTCAAACTGGAAATATTCTTTGTTGCCACAACGCAGAATTGATTGTTTTTTTTTACGTACTTTTCAATGTAGTAGCTTCCGCGTTTTAAATTAATCCTGCATTTTTTAGTTTTACTATCCATGCCATGACTATATTTTGCTGTTTTTCTAGCTTAAAAACTTTAATCGACTGAATTGATTTCGACTTATATTCCAGCGGCTTAGTGACCTATTTTGGGGTCATTTCACAAGAAGCATGTTTTGTGCTTCACTCCGGATCGCACTTAATGCTAGAATTCTCAAAATATAATTTATACTTCAAAGTTTTTTATAACAACATGTATTTTCGATTTTATGAGAAATTATTTAAGTTTTGTCGGCTCAGTTGCTGCTTGTTAATTATTTCATGAGATTTAGTAAATTGCCGTCGATTCGGTTTCTAAACGTGTTTACCGCAAAAAAAAACATAATACCAGACATTTGAGTTTTTCAAGTAGGTTTTTGAATTTTTTTTGTCTTAGTGGCTTTATTTTCATGTCTGCTAGCTTTCACTGCTATTTTTTTTTGTTGTATCGCATGTGGTGCGAAGCCTCTGTGTAACTTTTTTTTCGATTTTGCCGATTTCGAAAGACCTCATTTTTTCCAACGAACCATTCAATTGAAAGTGTTTTCAGCTTCTGAAGAGCAGCTGCAAATCATATCTGGATCGCTTCTGCCTCCGAGATGAAGACCCTTACGACTGGGAGGTACCCGGATCTCCGGACTCCAGAGCCCAACAGTCAATCGAGAACCAGAAACCCAGCGGATCCGCCCTCAACCCAGATCAGAAAAGCACTGGAGTCGCTGACAACAGTTTTGGTGGTGCAGATAAGAAGATGGCTTTTACTTCATCGGGCCACGTTCCCTTGCCAACTGGGGCGACTAGCGAAAAGATCAAAATGAAACAACTTAAAGTGAAACCCTCGCCTCATTTGAACTCAGCAGGTATTGATATTGATTCACCACCAGGTCAAGATCAAAATTATCCAGAAAGTCAGGGTCAGAGCAACGTTGCAGGGGGTTCAGGCATGACAACTGGGCAAAACCAACCTCAACTTAGAGCACCGATTGTAGGATCCTCGAACGCGGGTAGCTCCGGAGGACCTTCAGGGGGTTTCTTGTTGCCAAACAAAGCTTCGATGTTGTCGAAAAGTAACAACGATGGTACTAACCAGCCTCCGAATCTGAGCACTACAGGTGTCGGAGGCATGACCTTTACACATACGAAGAAGCTGAGCCGGGGCAATGATTTAAGTGGTGGTTTATCTTTGTTAAATGTGAATAACAATAAAAGTGTGTACTACGCGGATAGTCGAATAGCGGATAAAGATACATGTGCAGTTATGGAAGTGAGGCATTCTGAAATGGAGGGAATGACTCATGCTGCTTATCTGGACGGGGAGGAAGGCAATCTTAGCCGTGATTACCTTCAAGAAGAGAAAGAAGAACAAAAAAACGATTCAATTGATGTTTCGAAACACCTGCAAGACGATGACGAGGATCCGGACTGTATCGAGAACAATGCCGGCCGTGAAAGTCTTGGAAACGGCCAAGGATCCCCGCACCTTAATGCCGATGATTTGGATAAGTCAAATGGAGTGATTTCGAATAAGTTTGCTCTTGCGGATAACGAAGATGACAATGGAAGTAACCAGTTTGTAGAGCCAGGTTTAGTCAAGATAGGAACGAATAAAGATGACATGCAGTTGACTGTGTTGACTAACAACTACGCAGATTCGAAACTGTCTCCAAACGTGCCTTACCCGAACTTCTTGAACAAAATACCCGCCACTTCGCCCCTCTCAGGTAATTCTATGTGGCGAGCAGTTTTGCAAAAGCGTGTGTTCAATTTCAATTCAAACTCATTTGCTAAACGGGCAGTAAATTACGCTCCCAGATAACAAAAAAAAACATGAATCGCGCAAAAAACAGACTTCTTGTATTAAAAATGGATTTTTCTTTCAGTATTCTCCGTGAAACAAAAAACATTAATTTATATATTAATAATAAATAGATTGAATTCCAGCAAAATCCCAAGTCTCATTACGCTTGCGATTAGCAATCGTTATCAAACTGGAATCACTGAATCATTTCTGCAGCAACCAAACATGTTCAATTTCTTAAAAATTCAATTTGAAGTACTGGGTATGAAAGGTAATAAATAGTGGACGGCTAAGGGACTACGCTCGAATCCGGTCAGCACCGTTTTTTTTAACCTAAAATTATTATCGAATTTACAGAATTTACCTACAAGTGATCGAATTTACAGAATTTATTAGAGAGGGATGGGACAAAATATTGGTTGGTCAATCATGCTTTATTGATCTCAAAAAGCATTTGATACCATAAATCATGATGTTTTTTGGCAAAATTGAACAAATACGGCTATAAAGGTCGAATTCATTGTCTTCTGAAAAGTTACTTTACAAACTGGTTTCAATTTGTTCAAACTGGAAAACAAATGTCTTCTAGGCTCACTAGGTCATGTGGAGTACCGCAAGGGTCAATTTTAGGTCCGTTTTTGTTTTAAATATATATAAATGATCTTCCGAAAATAGCAGAAAGATCTGAGGTAGTTCTATTTGCTGATGATACTACAATATGCAATGCAGAGAAAAATTATTGCGATAACTTTGATAGCCTGTTAAATAAAGTGGATAGATGGTTTAAAATGAATGGTCTCAGTGTCAATCCTCGTAAAACTCAAATAACGAAATTTGGTCGTAACTTTTCAAAAGAATACTTCGCTTTTGGTACTTCAGTTCAAATTACAAATTTGTTTTATTATTTAGGCATTTTTGTTGATAATAAACTTACTTTCAAATTTCACATTGAAAATGTGTGCAAAAAATAAACTAAACTTTGTGGCATTGTCTGGAAAGCAAGGTACATTTTTTCTAAACAGCACATGCTTCGCTTTTACAAAGCATATGTAATTCCTACAATCACTTATGCAGTTTTAATATACGGCAATACTTAACAATCTCACCTTACCGAGATAATGAAATCACAAAAAAGAATCTTGAGAGCAATTTGTTTCAAACGTAGATATGAATCAATCAAGGAAAGTATGGACGAAAACAAATGCTTACTGTTTTTGATTTATTATTTTTAGAAGTTTAAATACTTGTTTACGGAACTGCGATCGGACAAAAAAAATAGTTTTGTCTGAAATTTACTCCGAAAAAATGGACGATGTACCAGGAGCAAAGCGAAAGGCGTAATTAAAATGACGAAATTTTCTTCAACCGCTAATCAGAGATCGCTTACATTTAGAAATTTGGTCGTAACTTTTCAAAAGAATACTTCGCTTTTGGTACTTCAGTTCAAATTGCAATTGTGTGTAATTGTTTAGGCATTTTTGTTGATAATAAACTTACTTTCAAATTTCACATTGAACGTGTGTGCAAAAAATTAACTTAATTTTGTGGCATTGTCTGGAAAGCTAGGTACTTTTTTTCTAAACAGCACATGCTTCGCTTGTACAAAGCATATGTAATTCCTACAATCACTTATGGATTTCTAATATACGGCAATACTTTCCAACCTCACCTTACCGAGATAATGAAATCACAAAAAAGAATCTTGAGAGCAATTTGTTTCAAACTTATGTATGAATCAATCACGTTAAGTATAGACGAAAACAAATGCTTACTGTTTTTGATTTATTTTTTTAGAAGTTTAAATACTTTTTACGGAACTGCGATCGGACAAAAAAATAGTTTTGTCTAAGATTTACTCCGAAGAAATGGACCATGTACCAGGAGCAAAGCGAAAGGCGTAATTAAAGTGACGAAATTTTCTACTACCGCTAATCAGAGATCGCTTACAATTGGAAATGTGCAGGCTTTTAACTATTTAAAACAAAATGACTTGATACCCTTTAATATACGTGAAATGTAACAAGTTAGCTGTTTGAGATTCTCTAAACAGTTTTTTCAAATTTGAGAAAAAGACAATCAGGACCTCTATGAACTGTTTTTTAACTCCAGTCCCTAAAATAATTTGTTTGTTGTTGATGCCGGCTCTTTACTCTCCAGGATATCCTACTCGATGAGCAGTACTGCTTTTTAGCATCTCCCTCCAGGCATAACATAATGCTTTTGGCGTTGTATATGTAGCTGGTAAAGTAATTCAAATTCAAGTTATTATCAAACAATGATCGGCCTATGGGTTGTCAACTTCTGGTTTGTCGGCTTAGTTGCCACATTTTTAAAAATCTTTCTTGTGTAAGATTGTTTTTTGTAACTGAAAGTGTTTTGTGATTCTTTGATGTAATATGTTATTTTTACACTTGCGAGAGCAATTGCTTGTAATCTGGAACCAGACTTTTTTCCCGTATGCAATTTTTCTTACACATTTGTAATTGAAATTGATGTTGCTTTTTATCGAATCTTAGTAAGTTCAAGGCCTCATTGCACTTGGTCTGAAGGTAATGCTGTTGCTTTTGAAAAGTCAGAGGGATTTGAGTCCCGGTCGGAAAGTTTCTTCTTCAGTGTTTTAAGTTGAAATTCTATTTCCGGGAAAATTGATTAGTCGGGTTATAGTTTGTCGACTTGTGTTGTCGTCTCAGTTGCCACGCGACATTTTTTATTCATTCTAACCAATTTTCACAATAGCCTCACTTGTCATTGATTAACTCCTGTAGTTTTTCTAAGTTACTATACCTTACTGGTATGTTTTCCGGTTTTTTGATTTTTTTTAATTTGAAAGTTTATTCGGCCTAAATGATATCGGCTCTTGTTTTGTCGATTTTAAATCGTTTTCTGCTTTTATTTTGTTCGTTTAGTGAACCTAATTTGCATCGGTATAAGGATAAAAAGTGAAAATTCATGTTTTTCTTACATCAGCTCGGCTGGTAACATAAAGGTTAAAACTCAAATGTTTTAATCGCTCAAAGTTTTTTGAACAATTTCCCTTGACATTTTTTGTTTTCAGAATTAATTGGCGTCTAACTGCGAGTTATCGGCTAATGAACGCTTGAATAACACTAAAAGATTGTTTATTTTTTGTGGCTGCGTTTCTAGTCTGTTTTTCAGAGATTGATTTTTCGTCATCCAAAAAAAATTGAATTTTTTATGACATCCTTATCGTTTGGTGTTTTTGTTTTCGGAGCAATTGGCGTCTAACCATTTGTCGTGGCTTAGTGGATGCTCGGAAAATACTTAAAACGGGCTTATTGCTATTGTTTGGGTTTCTCGTCTGTTTTTCTGTTATCGATTTTTGGCTATTTCAGTTTTTTATCACTTAGTTCTTTCATCTCACTGACCATTCAGCATCTTGCAATGGTACAATTTCGTTGTATCGCAAATGATGCGAAGCTCCGCTTCGCCTGTGTGTAACAAATTTAGCAGCAAATTATTTTAAATTAAACAGGTTCAAACGAAGCTAGTATCTCTACCTAGTATCAGCAGCAGGCATTCGCCCTCACGACGCTGACCCTAATGTCTGGGTATTACAAACAAATTTTTTTCTTTCCAAAGAAAAACCCCACTAGACTGTAAATGAAGAGTTAATTTGATTGGATATTTTTAAATGTTAACCTAATTTTTTATTGTACTGTTTCAACGCAAAGTCCCGTAGTACCATCTCTGGTAGCAGTATTTGGTTTGTTACCATGACATTATAATAATAATAATAATAATCATGAAGGATTTAGGATAAGTTCCAGTGGAATTGCTTACTTGCACTTTCAGTTTATTGAGTCTCATAGAAATTCAGTTTTGCAGTATTGATGCAGTTTGTGCAGTTGCAGCATAATCTCCAGGTGCAGGGGAGGTTTTCGTTGAATTTCGCAGTGAAGTAGCGCCAGTAGATAGTTGACAGTTCTTCTTTGCATTGCGTTGATTTGATGACATCTTGGTTGAGATGTCTATTAAATATATTTGAAAGTGAACATGCTCGTTGCCAAAAATCAGATTCGCATTTTCTCAGTCGGAAGCATTTGCTGGTATAAAAGGGTATTGCGTGTGATCTTGTTATGCCTGTATCAATAATCTGTACATACTTCTCCCAATCAATGTCAGTTTTCGAGTTGATAATCCTAGCAAAAAGTAAAACTACATGCATTTCATGATATAAGGACAGTGATAGTAAGTGAAGTCTTTGAAGACGCGATTTATATGAAAGGTTGTTTGTGCCTAATATCCAGATACTTGCTCGATGTTGAACCTTCTCAATGAGTGCCAGTTCAGACTTAGATGGTTTCCAAAGAGACGATGCATAGCTGATTATTGGCACTACATATCCTCTGTATGCATTCTTCTTAGTGCTTATGGTCGAGCTATTGGCTAGGTTTTTTTTTAAAGAGAAGAAAGCTTTTAGCGGATTTAGTTTTAGCGTGTTCCGTCCAAGACAGGTTGTTTGTGACTATAAGTCCAAGATCTTTCATAAGATCCGTTCCTGGTATATTCTGTTTTTTCATGCAAACAGACATACTGCCTTTAAACTGAAGGGTTTTGCATTTACTTAGGTTCAAACTCATGAATTTCTTGGAGCACCAGTTCCAAATTTCATTCGAGTCGATATTCAGGGTTATTGCGTTATCTGAGACAATTTTATAGTCGTCAGCATAGCCGAAGCAGTTGGACATGGCCACCGTTGGCAGGTCATTTATGTACAAAATAAACATGAGTGGGCCAAGTATTGATCCCTGCGGAACCCCACTTGTTATTGGCAGTAATTTTGAGATGCAATGCCCGATTCGCACCTGCTGGTATCTATCACTGAGATAATTTTTCAGTAGACCAAGGCACGCGCCCTGAAGCCGGTATGAGAAAGCTTTTCAATTAGTTTCAGGTGGTTGACTTTATCAAACGCCTTTTTAAAATCGAGATACAGGGATGAAAGGTTATTTACATTCTTGTTGTCGTACATTAGATAGATTTCGTGGAGATAGAGTATGATGTTAGTAATGGTTGAGCGTTTCGTTCTGAAACCGTGTTGTGAGTTATGCAGCAGTTTTTGCACCTTCGAGTACATTTTATCAAACATCAGTTTTTCTAATACCTTCGATGTAACATTCAGAAGACTGATTAGCCTGTAATTGGAGACTACCTGTTTGTTATTTTCCTTGTGGATAAGCACTATTTCACTTACTTTCCAAGTAGATGGGAATTGCTGCTTGTTCGCAATCGTATTGAAAAGTAACATTAGTGATTTAGAGATGGAGCTCCAGAGCTGTTTAAAGAGCAGGTTTCCCATTCTATTAGGTCCTTTTGACTTGTTTATGTTAAGATTTTTTAAAATGTCTTCTATTTCGATGATATTAAAATGAAAATGATTTAGGAGGGTCGTATTATCACTGTCTAGGTTTGAATCATATGGAATGTTGCTGTAGACGGAATGGAAATACCGGTTGAAAAGTTCAGCTTTATCTTGGTCGGAGCGAGCTTTTTCACCATCGAGATACATTTCACTAGGCACAGTAGTAGAACGCCGAACGTTACGCAGATATTTTTGAAGTTTATCAAAACGCCCTTCTTTGAAAAGTTCTCTCTCATGGTTTTGCTGATCCATCAGAAGAGCATAGGCCAGCTTTTTTTGCGATTTTTCCAACTTCCTGAGGTTAGCTTCGCTCGGCTTTTTAGTAAAATTATTAGTTAATGTAGCTCGGATTTTAATAAGATTAGAGGTTGAGGGGGTTACCCAAGGCGCCAGGGACAGCCGATGTTTAGTTTGTAAGGGAATGTGCTTTGTTAGAATACTATAAATCCACTGGTACCACAGTCTAGTCATAACATCGACATTGCTGTAGCAGTATGGCATGAAAGGCTCCTCAGCTATTTGATCGTTTATGGCTCTCCAGTCGGCTTTGGTATAAGCAAACTTTGCAAAGTCGAGTTCAATTTCATGTGGTCTGTCGCGACGGAACGATTCGTTAGACTGAAATTGAATCCTTGCCTTGTAAGGCAAGTGATCGCTGGCGAAGTGGCTTTTCAGAAAGTTATCAATGCAAACATCAGAAAGGATATCCCCAATATTGCATAAGATCACGTCCAGTAAGTATTTTCTATGGTCGATTTTAATCGCTTGTTCATAGTTAAAGCTGCAGAGAGCATCCAATACCACCTGTTCATTTTCAGCTCTGGATGTCAGTGTAGACCAGTCAGTTTGTGCAAAATTAATGTCTCCTAATAATATCACATTTCGAACTGAGTTTTCTTGTTGCACATATCTGATATGGTATCTGATATGGTTTAGTAGTATCATTAGTTTATTTACTGACCAGCAGTAAGAACTGTTTGACGGTGCGCTATATATGCAGCAGAGTAACAAGGGAATTTTGAAGTGAAGTATAGTGATTACACAGTCTGGTGAGTCAAACATGATTCTCGTGTGGGTTATATTCTTTTTCACTCCAATGAGGACTCCTCAATGCTTAGTATTACCATTTTTACTGGGACGGTCACTTCTATGTATATCAAACTTCGGCAGAAAGAGCGCTGCAATGTCTAAATTTTCGGTGAGCCAGGTTTCCGTAAGGCACACTATATCATAGTTATCATTAACTTGTAGACTATTTGAGAGGTCAGCTCTTCTGTTGTAATCTAGGATGCTTCGTACATTGAATAAAAGAACAGTTGCGTAGTGGTTTAGTCAATCATTAGCCTCCTTTGGGTCCTCATAGACAACCCATTTGTTGTCTTGTCGTATTAACAGTTTCCCATCGCGGATCCTGGGGTCTTTTTTGTCAATTTTTTCGTTAAAAAGTTCGCGACATTTTTGTAGCGCCACATTTTCTAGTGTTGCTTCCTCTCGTGATAGCTCACGACTGAGATAGACTGGCTTGCCGTACGTTTTTAGTTTGCTTGCCGAGGAAAGAATAAGCCGGCGCTGCCAAGGATTGGACACTTTGACTAGGATTGTTCGGGTTTTCGTATCGTTTCGTGGTCCAAGTCTCAGTAAATCGTTGATGTTGCAGTTAACTTCAATGTGGGCAAATACTTGCTGGATTTCTGAAAGGTCGTGTTCCTGTCGCTTTCTAGGATCTCTGTCGTCTGATTCTTTGATTCCTCGCACTCGTATTCCCTCAGGGACCATTGTTGCTTCAGGTGTTTTGCGAATGGTTGCTGCTGGTTGATTTACTTGCGTTGTTTTAGGTGGATCAGATTTATCGATCATTGCAGTTTTGATTTCGAGAAGAGAATTTTTGAGTTCAATAATTTCTTTCTCGATATTCGTAATTTGGCTTTGATTGGTTTCACTTACCTCCATTTTTGCAATGAGAGAAATGATTTCATCGCGTTTGTTTTGCTCCACACAGTCATTGCACAATAGCATTACATTTGTCTTCAATTCAGTTATTCCATCTATTGCTGTTGAACTCAGATTGGTACATTTTTCGGTTAGGTGAATTTTGCAAGAGCAAGCTATACAGATGAAAAGTGGGTCACGTGCACGCACTGGTCCTTTACATGTTTTGCAGGCTTCATCGGAAGCCGAAGTTACTCGGGAACGAGTAGCAACTTTCGCTTTATCGACCATTACAACGACTGGGAGAATAGATAGGTAAACCTATGGTTCCCGAAAGGGGAGTCCTGCGGTTTACTGTTTCTACTCTGAGGCTGGGAACAGATATGTAAACCTATGGTTCCCGAGAGGGGAGACCAGCAGTTCAGTTTCTATTCAACGAGAAAAACTTACTTAATAGGTGCAGTTGCAATTCCGAAATCGACACTCAAATGTTGCCAGGTGACCTTCTCTATTGAACGAGTCCGAGTATTTTGTGTACAAAATCTTGTTTTTCAGGATGCTCTGGATACCTCTTAGACCCTCTTTGTTTAGATGGTCTTCGTCTTCTTTAAGATGGTATATGCAGTAAATTTTGTAGCACAGACCTCTGTATTTCCAGTTTCCTTTTTTTGTTCTCAGAAATCCGTTCACGTCTGATGCTCTCTTTCTGTACTCACCGCGATGTGGAATGCGAAGGATAAAGATTTTTGGGGCGCGTAGGGATAATTCGTCTGCTAATTTTGAAATCTCGTTGACTATGTCCTGTTCGGAGACAAGATGGTACGTTGTGTTCGTATGCGTCGTTACCACCAATGAAAAGTACAATTAGATCGTATTTAGCCTTTTCCGGCAAGAAGTCGATCACACTGCCAATCCGAGCTCCAGGTAGAGACAAAATGTTGAAATTCGGGAAAATTAGATTCCTTACTTGAGAGTCTGCAATCAGCAGGTTTCTAGATGAAGACGTTCTGAATTGATGATAACGTCTATACATTTACACGGAGCAACCACGGCTACTCCGGAGAAACATTAACCTGAAAGCAAACTATTTAATAAGTTGGCATTGATCCAATTGATCATATTAGTTGGCAAAACAAATACGAGATTATAGTTTTGCCAAAATTTGCACAAGCATTCCTTGTAATTCTGAAACTCGCTATTCGTAGGCCCCTGTAACCGGTATATTCAAATTTCTTGAACTTGTTCACTTTATGGTTACGGCTTTACTAACTTCTGATTTTGTTCTACTAATTTTTAACTATTCAATTTTTTTTCTTCTTTTTAGTTTTTGATCCATTGTATTCAAAATAGGGTTAGTTTCAAAAAGTTTCAGTAATACAAGATTCCAGAAATGCAAAATGCTTCATGGTGATATATTTTTGCTTTGGAACTTGAAAGTTGATTTTTTCAATAAAGTTTTTGTTTTGGTTTCTTTGAGCTCATGGACACATTTCGCAATTGCAAGAATGCGCGTCTTGTAATTGGGAAATAGATTTTTATCCAGTTAACACCATAAGGAAACAGCAAATCTGCAAGAAACTGAGCTTGGTTTTTTGTTGAAAATTAACAGCTTGCAGACTACTTCTAACTTTGTGTAGAGGCTATGCAGTTGCCTTTGCAAACTCAGGTCTGAGGTTCGAGTCGCGGTTTTTTTTCAGATAACAATTTTTAGCGATTTTAGTTTTCAGCTTAGTGGCCGTTCGGTAATTATCCACAGATTACAAGCTGATTTAATATTGGCGTCTGTTTTTTTTAATTTTTTTTCGAAAAAGCATTCTAATTTTTTCCTAAAAAATCTTTCAATGTTTTTTTTTCTTTTTTGCGTCAACTTAGTTCTTTCCGTTTCATTTTTTAATCGGTAGCTTGCAGCGGTACAGCTTGCAATGCTAAAGCTTGCAATCAGTGCCCAGCTGTTGTCTGGGTTTCAATGGAGAGTTTTTTCAAACCGAATTTCATTCAGGATAGGAATGCGGATAAAAAATAATTTTAGGGTCAAACTTTCTAAATAACCAGCGTTTGTGTTTTAGGTGTTTTTTTTGGAGCTCGCGAATTTCTATTACCATGTAGAAACCAAATTATATTTTCTAGTAACAATGTGAAAATGGCGCGGAATATCGAGGTTGACTCATAGTTTCTAAGGTAGATTCCATGTTCTCAATTTGTCAGCGGTATAAGAAAGTATTGGGATTGTTTAAGTTTTTCATATAAATTTTTAAATAAAAAAAATGTCAAGCATAAGAAGTTCAAAAATCCTCGGTGCTTTTTTTAAATACAATCTCATTTACAGAATAACAAACTTAGCGCGTTAATTATGCTCATTGTTGAAAAGTTTCTGACATAAAAAAATGTTTTTTTTTCTTTTAGGTACCTCAGATAAAACAAAGTTGACCTCAAATAACCCAGACCCACCACTCCTCTCTGACGTCATCAGAAACAATCAGGAAGAAGGGGGTGTTGTTGATTTCCATAACGACAAAGTGCAAGATCATACCACAACAACTCCTGGATATGATTTCGAACATCAATCGTCGGGACTGTTGAAACCAGCAACACCTCCAATTGACGTTGATTCTGCGGTAACACCTCCTGACGATAATACGTCTCAAAATAGAAACCAATTTTCAAACGAGAAACAAAAAGCGGAACGTGAAAGTAAGCAGTTTGCAGAATCATTGAATTCAGCTTCAAAGTTCAGCTCAAAATTAGATTCTAAAGAGCAGAAAACAAGCTCAGCCTACTCGGGTTTAACAAGCAGTGGTAGGGCCAAGCCTAGAATTCCAACTCCGGTTCCAAAGAAGCCTGGAACCGATTTTGGCAACTTGTTCAAGCAGCTGAAAAGTGGTCGGAAAAAATCTGCAGATAAACCAAGAGGGTCGATTAAGGCTCTGAACCCGCAAGTTAAACAACAGCCCCATGAAAAAGTGCAAAGTAATGAGAACTTGAATAACCCTGAAAATAAATCAAGTGGCGGATCCTCGCAAGTGCCTCACAGGTTGGAGAAAAAAGCAAGACGCCAATTGCCGCAAGTGCCCCCGGCCCGTGCCCAAAGCATGGATAATTTAGACTCCGCCCCCAATTTGATTGACCCTCCGAGTAAAAACCAAGAGCACTACAAGTCAGTGCGAGACGCTGTTAAACATTTCGAATCGATCACTGACCAAGAAGGCGACAGTGGTATCAACTTAGTGTCTTCAATTCCTTTAGAAAGTACGACTGCCAGGCCCTTGCCAGGTGTAAAAGAGCATCAACAAAGAACCTACTCATTAGGAAGTGCACAATCGCACGGAAATTTAGTCGAAATCAAACCTCTTTTTAACGTCAGCAGTGATAATTTAAGCTCGAATGATCGCGAAAGTGCAAACAGTACTAAACCTACAGGCGGCACGATATCATTTCGCGACCGGATTAATAATCTTCGTCAAGATATGAACGGTGTCAAAACTAGTTTGTCAAGTTTGACGGGAGGAGGTAATAATGTAGATGCGAAGCAATCCCCGCAACAATTGAGCAATGCCTCTGAAGGTTCCCAGGTGTCCTCGGCAACAACGAGTAAAAATACAAATCAGCAACGCAGGCCTTTAAACGTCGGCAAGCGATTAAGTCTAACGAACGCACTTGCTCAGGATGTTGACAAACAACCGTTAGTATCTAATCAACCGAAAAATACCTCAACAGTGCTGCCGTATAGTAAAGATACCCCCTCGAGTCCCCTATCAAATACCGCATCAGGGCAAGAAGCTTCAAATACTTCCAGAAAAACTTCCGGCGTTGGTTTGAAATTGTACAACAGAATGCCTTCAGACGCTGTGATGCATAAAATGGAGAAGGATTTGACAAGGTTGAATCTGATTAGTAATAATTCGAACACACAGCAAGGAGGTTCGAATCCCACTGCGGTCCAAAAAAGTGAGATGTCGGATTTTAAATCGGATGCGAAAACTTCGACAACAAATTACTCCAGCAGTTTTCTGGCTAAGAGAGAGGTGAGTCGAAGAATCAAGCACGAAACAGACTCGGGTTATGTTTCAAAAGACACGAACAAATCCGACTTCGAACCGTCGACGAATGAAAAGTCACGAGACGAACACAAAAGTAGGAATAATAAAGAAACGATTTCTCCGACCATGGGAATCGGAGCGAGTGTGTCGTCCAAATTAACAACTGCAAATCATTCCAATCGTAACACTACCTCTAGCTATACTACCAATACATCAGCTGCTCAGAAAGCAAACGCGCCATTATACATGAACATAAGTAGTGAAATGAAAAATGTTGGAAATGCAGGAACAAGCGATCTGCTAGAGAGTTACTATCATCATCATAATCCTCATCAAAACCAGAATAATGCCAATGAGTTTAATGTAGTTAATTTGGTTAGTAGTAGTACTAACCAGGAATACCAGAAACAGCAGCGACAACAACAACAAACACAGAACCAGGGTTTAGCCCAACGGGTGGGAGAGAGCAACAACAACAACAACAACATCAACCAAGGTCAAAGGTAAGAGCTTGTGAAATCTTATTCTTTGAATCCGATTTAAAAAACTAGCTTAATTACAAGCTACAAAAATCATTGATTTTTTGGCTCGACGCAAACTCGTCCTGTCTTTGCACACGTGACTTTTAACTCATAGCTCGGTGTTTCGATAAGTTTTATGAGCCGCGGTTGTCTCTATAGAGTTATTCTCCTACAATAACAGAACAGAGGTTAAATTGAGTTCGCAGGCAAGGTTTCAGATCCATTTATGATCTGGGCAAGTGTTATTAGCCAATTTGTAGGTTTTAGCAGGTAATTTTTTGATCTTTGTTCTACCAAAATAAACCAAAACTTCAAAATTGATGTGATTTAAAGATCGGCAGCAGTGCCTTCGCAACCAGCGGAAAATTCCCAATATCATCACGTTATCAGAACAAGCAGCAGCCAGAGCAAGAGCAAAGGAGACTTACTTCGGCAACCAGAGTGTACAAACCACATCAGCAGTTCAACACTAGTGGCCAACAACAACAGAGGGCACAACGGAACAATATCCAGAGAAGTAAGTGCTGTTAAAAGTCGATTGGGCTCCAGAAAAAGACCAGAGTTAAAGATTCAAGGTTAAATGCAGTTCGGAGGGCCACAGGGCATATTACAGCGGATCTAAAAAAAAACAATGAACATGAGTTTTCACATTGTGTTTTTAAACAAAGAACACTCGTAGTACTTCGAATGCGGTATCAAATCTAAGTATTTCCGTTTTGATTAGAATTCCGAGAAGTATTTTTCTTATCATTGTCTGAGTCTCGTCGAAAAACTAATCTCAATATCTCCATTTTCATGGTTTCAAATTTCGAGCTACCATTTTTTATTCAAAACGTTTTTACCATTAATAAGCAAGCTTCAGTTTAAGATGTACAAGAGCCAAATTTCATGGTTTAGATACAAGTCAGTGATTTACATGCAATTTTTAAGCGTTATTAGAACTGTATCTGCTCAAGTAAAGCCTAATCAATTGATGCTTTTTTGTTACTAATTATCAAATCGGCATACAGACTTTTTTCGGGTTAAAAACTTATTCATAATCTTGGTTCATAATGAATTCAAATTTTCACGCGTCTCCGGCGCACTTAGTCTGGAGGCAACGAATACGCCTGGGACAGCAAAGGTCCTGGGTTTGAATCTGACCAAAATCTGTTATTTTTACGGAAGTTCTCCGTTTCAAAAAAATTGTCGGCTTATTATTTGTCTGCCTATGTTTTGTCGGCTTAGTTGTCACATCTTAAAATTTTTTTCTGTATGCAGTTTTCATTGTAGTTATTTTTGTGTGTTCCTTTTCTCCTGCAATTTGTAATTTTACCTACATTGACTTCGTGTGTTTTCTTTTTTTGCTTCGGCCTTTATTTTGTTGGCTTACTCACCTAATTTTGGGCCGGTCGAAGGACGAAGGAACCATAGTTTGTATGCTTTCCTCTGGATTGCACGAAACGTTAAAATTCTCAGAATAGACTTAGATGTTCAAGTTTTTCAAGACAACAAATTTATTTTTGCTCAATTTTTATTTTATTTTCATTTAACCCCATCGAATGTGTGTTCTGGACGTGTTTTCTGCAAATAGAGTATCATTTCAGACAAAATTTGAAGTGTTTTAGTTGTGGTTGCTTCGAAATTTTTTCCATTGAGTTCCTTTGTTTCTATCAGTATCTGGTAATGCATTGTTTTAATTGTATCTCAAGTATTGCGAAGAAAAGCTCCGCTTCGCCTGTGCCTTTTTAAGTTTAATTCATATTCATTTGCTAACCGGAAGGCAAACTGCGCTCTTTTAGTGAGAAACTGCAAGTTGTTTGAAAAAACGTGAATGACTCTTAAATTTTATTTTTTCGATTTCCAAGTTGACTAATGAAATTACATATTGTTCCAGTTTTCTCTAATTGGGCTAGTTTTGTAGCCTCAATGACATATTATTTTCTATTTTACTTGAGTTCATTGGCACTTTTTCAACTATTTGTTTGCTATGCTATAAAAAGCATGACGTGGAAACAAGAACAATATGCAGTTTTTTCTTTGCAAAATTCAACTCAAATATTTTTATTCAGCTGAAAAAAACTAGGCCATTTTATTTATCTTCAAAAACGACAATTTAATGCATTAAATATTACTGCCATAAAATTATAATCAAATATCAAGGTGTTCAAACGTCTGTCTGAAACTTGTGAGGTCGGGCTTGGTACCCAGAGCAAATCGTAAGATACCATTTTTAAACGAGCTGTCGAAACCTCTTATTTAAAGAGTTGATGAGGAGCTGACGTCTTAGTTACTTCAACATTTGGTGTGTTCTAGCTATCGCCTCGTCCAAACTCAATGCAGCTCAACAACAATCGCAGTCAGAGGTCGACTTCTTCTGATCCAAATGCCAACCATAAATCATCTGAAAGGTCTCCTAAAAGTGGAAAAGAGTTTTCCAGTGAGGTAATGCTCAATTTTAAATGAAACTTTGGCAGGAAAAAATTGGGGCACTAGAATCATAAACAATTTTTCTCTTTTTTCAGTAATATTTTCTTTCAGTGGAAGTTTTTAGATCAAAGCTGAGAATTTCCTGACGACTTCTGTGCATGCGAATACTCCGTTGCTCTGAAAGCGGCGCTTGACAGTTTAATTGCATTCTACCTAATAACTAGTGTTTTAGATTTAATATAACTGCAGAGTTTTTGTTCTTTCGCTTTTTCAACTTTTGCGTTTTTTGGAACTTCTTGCTATGGCTGCTGGTTGGATGGAACTTTCTTTTCTACTTGCTGAGCTTGGCTACTCCTGTTGTTATTTAGGTATTAGTCAGCAGAAACCAACTCATGGCGACTAACTGGAACTTGAATCTGGACGACAGTGTTGAAAATTTTCTAGACGAAAGTCAGAAAATTACAGCAACGACGCCAATAGGTAGAACAGTTACTAGTTATAACTACTTCAAGTTAGCACCTCAGGATAATAACTACTCGAATAACAGCAGTAGTGCGTCCAAAAGTGAAAGGAGACTCAAACCTGATTCTTCTTCTGCGATGCTTAATGGACATGACTCGGTGAAAGATCACGAGAAGAGTTTGGAGGATTTTATGACTACTTCGGAAACTGGAGGTAAAGGTGAGCACTCATATTATTTTGACATTAATTTTATATAAAAAACAACATATAATGGCGTGATTTTTTCGCTCAGATTCAATATCAGGACACTTATTTAGATAGTTTAATTTTTTGCTTTTTCACGTTCGATTTTTTTGAAACTTTTTTCGTCACAGTGGGATTTAACAGAGAATGATATTTTGTACAGGAGGTAACTTGGAGGGAGTTGGCTCCGAGGCAGCGACTGACAAGTACTCCAAGTCATGGGGCTCAGGACAGAATGGGATGTTGAAGAAACTGAGGGTGAAGTTCGGACACGCCACACAGAACGACACGGATAACCAGAATGGTGAGACCAATTTGTTTTGGTGAGACCGATAAAATGTGTTATTCTGAATCATTATTGCGATGCGACGGAAGTGTTTCATTAGATTTGCTTTATTTTTAAGACAAAAACTTGGACATTTTTCATGCAAAAATTCACACTTAAAATTTCCTTTTCCTATTTTTGTTGGGACAGTTTAAGTCAGTTTTCTGGAAACCACTTCAGAAATTATCCGACTTTGATAATTATGTTTGCTCAGGATTTAAACTGCCTTATTTGAGTTAGTCGAACAATTTTGACCAATTATATAAAATATTTTACAGCGGCATCTGATTCTCCTCGCAAAAGCAGATCAAAAAGCATAGGCAGTATCGACATCTGTGGTCTGAACAACTCCAAAGGCAGTCCTCTGAAACTAGTCGATAGTCCTCGGAAGTCGGCGCGGACTCCCAGGTCAACGACCCAAAGTAGTTTTAAATCCATCCTGGAGCAAGCTGAAGATCTTGTGGATAAAAGTAAAGAACAGGACAACACAAGAAGTGATGTGAATGGGAATTTTGAAACTGGCCGAAAATTGACCGAAAATTATACTGAAGACTCCTCGTCTTCTTTTCTCCCCCGCTCTCCCCCACCCGTAAACAAAGTGACATCCAGCAAACCACCCTACAAAACGAGTTCGATAACATCTCAGAACTACGTAACGTCTCCAAGGTCGGCAAGGATATCGGACTCCATCATCGGTACGACTCCAACATCAACAAGGGCTTTGGACTCCAACGTCGGCACGACTCCAACATCAGTACGGGTTTCGGACTCCAACGTCGACAAGAACTTCGCGAGTGATGTGGAAGACTCCAACCTAGCAAAACAGACGCAATCAGTAGGGTTCAGTGACTCAACAAGGGCTTATGCATACCCGAAAGCTCCTCTGGCGGCCCTAGAAGGAGATATTTCATGGTGCAGTCAATCAAATAATACGACGACGAATTCTGCAAGAAATCAGCAGCAATCTTCTCAAAAACAGACTGACGATGCAATCAACAATAATAGTTTCAGTGCGACAAGTAATGCACTGCCACGACCGCCCTCGGAACCACCGAAGTCGCCCAAGACGCCGAGTAAAAACAAAAACGTCAGGTAATTAAATTTTCATGGTAAAAGGAGGTAAAAAGGCATTTAAAGCTTATTTTATAGCTAATGCCAAATTGTAGGCAATATCCTTATCGGTCAAGAATTCAACGAATCTGAACGAAGTTAATTAACCTAAAACTGCTCATTTCGACGTCGGATTTTAGCTTCTCTCAGATTTCCACACATAAAAACCATTTTAAAAAAACTAATTAACCTATAAGCTGTAGTTTTGACCGATTAAATTGCTCAAAGTCACCGATATTGCCAACAATTTGGCATTATCTATAAAATTAAAGTGATTTTGATTTAGCTCACAAGAAACGATGGTCATTTTTTTCTGGTCCTAAATAAGCATAAAAAACATTTAGTAACAAACACAAATTGAGATCAACAAACTCTGTGATGGGCCTATGGTTTGTCTTAGAGTTACAGATAAAATAGTGTTTATTTATATTAAATATATTTTTTTCATTGTTTCGAGCATTATCAGTGGATTAAGGGTTGCACAGAAATAGCTACCAATTTTGTTTGCAATTTAGGCGACGACGCTATCTGCTAGGCGGAAAATCCGACTAACTTGAGAGAATTCTAAGTGCCAACCCGCCATCTCGCTTTCACCCCCTTTCGCCAATCCAAGAAGTTTACCTAATCATTATGAGGGCAATATTAGTTCAGTTACCGAAAGGCATTGGTCAGACGCAAAACACGAACCAAGATTCAAAGAATCCGGAATTTTGTGAGCTTTAAATGTAAAATCGGAGATTCATTGCTATTGTAGCAAAACTGGAGAAGCATCAGCTGGTTTCAAAATCGATGGTTTCAGCGTTAGCTTTGAAAATTTCTGAATCTAAAAAACTTGGTTGTGGTTCCCTAAAAATTCCTTAAAATTTAGAAGTAAAAATTGATTTTTTTTTCAAACATTTCGTTCCATTTATATCATTCTGGTGCTACTATATCGAATGTATTATTGTGCGAGATTTATACAAAAAACACTCCCTAATTTGGGTTGTAATAGGCGTAGAAAATTGGGTTGTTTCTCATTGGTTCGCTAAAATTGCTGGGATTTTTCGTGTTATATTTGACCTCACTCGAACTTCTGCTTGTTTGCAAATATTCAACTTTGTGCTTTAGTTAATCAAATTTTGCTAATTTGAATTGTTTTGTCGCGCCTTAGGTAGTGGTCGATCTTATTTTGAAGCAAAGCAGTTCAATCGCTCATTTTTGTTTGATTCAAGAAAATAGCATGTAAAACGTCGAGATAGTTTCTGTTTTGGGTTCCAAGTTTTGCTTTTGAAAATAGCTTATGTTTGATCGGATTTAATGAATTCAGACAAAATTGTGTTGAAACAGTTTTCCATTATCGGGTCGTTAAACAGAAACCTCGATTGTCATTTTCTAACTATTTCTGTTCAAATTCGGGCTCAAGTATTTCGAAATTGTCGGTTTTATGCAAATTTCGAACTATCTTGTTTTTGCAAACCCATTAAATTGTATCATTAGTTTAAAGATCTGAAGTTAGTGCGAAATAGTGATTCGTTTGTTAGAAATCCGGAATGCAATGCAATAAACCTATGCTGAAACATGTCGTATCATCACTGTAAATATCTTCTAAAATTATCCTCTGCTGTCTTAATTATAGGAACTGGGCCCAATTGCGTTGAGTCTCACAAACGCGTTTTGTAAAACTATCAAAAACCATAATCAGAGCAAGATTTTTATTGGCTGAAAAAATCCAGTTACGCATTGAAAATAATAGTTGATAAATTCTTTAAAAAATGAAAAATAAATCCTACATGAAATTTAAAAATTGATCCCAGTCGCGTCTTCTGAAAATTTGACCGTATCAAAATCATTTCGACACATTGAATCTTTTTGAGACTTGATTAATCGGGCTGAGTCATCTTTGTCATTTATTTTCTTTCTTCTTTCCGTTTGATATACTCTAAACTGCTGTGATATTTTCTTATTCCATCGCAGAAATGTAAATTAATAAATCAGAATCGAGTTCAACAGCGATGCATACTTAAAAACATCTATGAAATATGATATGTTGTTACTTTAGCAGGATAATTACAAATTTGCGTAGATAGATTGTAGTTAATAAATATTAATTGATAACTGACTAAAAGTCCAGAAAAAATGTCAGTTGCGATGAAAAATATGTTTGTTGCAATTCAAAATTTTCAGCCTTATACAATAAATTTACTTTATCACGTTATCAGTTTTTGCGTTCAAGTTAAACTCGCCCTCAACTGTAGGATTGCGTAACTTTTTCAAATCAAGACGCGTGTTTCTAAGGAATTCTGCAAGGTATAAGCTGTCCAGCTACCTACAGAAACACTTATTTAGAGTCGATGAACGTAGTTCAGTCTCTCATATAGGTGCTGATGATTTTTTTTCGTTTTTTTTTCGGAAAAAGTCTCAAAATTTATTTAGGCTCAAATTTACTTTTTCGCGGTTTGTCTTAAGATTTCTTTTCATTCAGTTCAAATCCTTTGCTAAAAGAAAAGCAAATATCGACCAGCAAATATCTCAAGGCCTCGAAAAACGCGATTGACTTCTAATTTCATAATCGGAATTTAATTTTCAGATTTTCCACGGAGTAATAATTGCAGTTTTCTCAAATTTGGTTAATTTTATCAAAAAAGTGCAATGATAAATTGTTCTAGAATTTCAAATAGCTTTCAGGGCATCTATTTTTTCGTTAAAGTTGAGATTAAGTCCGCAAATCATATGAAGAAAAAAACAGCGCATTCAATTTAATAAAGACATTAAGCCTCAATTTAGCAAATACACTTAGCGAATATCAAATTCAGGGGGTGGAGGTCGAAGTAAACAACAAAAACAGCTGCCGCACGAATCTTGCTGAGGTAGGCAAACGGAGGATCTGTTAAGAATTATGTTCAATGACATTTTAACCTGTAAACCCTGTCTAGATTGTCATTTTATCTAAAAATGGAATCTCAAACAGTTGATCTGATCCTAAATTGAACTATTTTGCATGTTGCTTTTTCACTTACTTGGTCAACCTAAATTAAGTAAGGTGTCATTAAAACCCAGCTTCAAGTTCTGGTCGCCAAAAAACAAAGCTTTTTTTTCTAATTATTCGCCTTAATTCACTCTTTTCCAATTGTCTGCTGGCTATGTTTAGAATCTTAACTCCAATCTTTTGAGATCTGTAGGATAATTTCGTTCCATAAAATTTGATTTTTTGTTGCTTTTGTCCTAGTTCCTCCTAACCATATTGTTATACTTTTTGCCTTATTCGGTTGTTGGTTTTAACAGCTCTGTTGCGAACCTGCAGTTCAATATTCATGCTTTTAATCAGCCTTTTAAGCAAATTTGAAGCCACATCAGTCGATTGTGTGAAGGTAGCATTTGAAGTTCAACTTTAGTAATTTTTGACAAGAAACTACATTTGAAAAAAATTGAAACAGTTGCAAACGCAGTGTTCGACGGTCAGCACACTTTTTCTAATCAAAAACGAATCTTTACTTGAAAAATAAAGTTAAAACTACGCAGCCTCTGATCTTATTGGCTTTTTACACTTGCGACACTGGCGAGCGATAGAGTATTAGTACGAATCTTCTTTTTTCTAACCTTGCTCGCATATAAAAGTGTTTATTATAAGTGTTCTTATTTGGTGGCAATTTAGTTATAATCATGATATGTAATACTGGAAATTTCATAACATCTGCTCTCTGCTTTATTTGTCGCTAGCAATTGTGATTTAATAGGCCGTGGCTGAGTTACGGTCAGTTTTTGTTGCGCCCTTTTTTTCGCCTCATGTTTGCGAGCTGAACTTGGTCGGTGTTGCCTTTTTATCCTGCTTTCTCTCAATGGGTTAGTTTTATGAAAAAGTAGTCATGCGCGAAATCTTCTTAATGTAGAGATTCAAACGTGATATAGTTTATTTTTGGGAATTCAAATTTTTTTTAATCAATCAAAGAGTAAATTTTGTTCATTGAAACTGCCAGCTGTCTATTGGCTCGAAAATCTTAAAAATTTTAAAATCCAGAATGAAGAGGTTTAAAAAGAACTCAAAATTATTCGAGTAGCATATGTGATACTGATTTTGTATGGAAAAAAGGTAAGAAGTATAAAACTACTCGGATATAAAGTTGATGTCACCTTTGTGCTGGCTACCGACTTTTTCAAAGCATTTATTTTCCAACTTTACTGGAAATCAAAGAAAACAATAGAGCCTGGTTTTTGCGGAGAGAGCTCAGACAATTCGTCTTAATATTTTAGTCCTGAGTTTTTGGTATACAAAAATCTAAGCTGAAAGCCAATATTTGACTCCTGGAATTTATCTCCATTGCATAAGTTAAATAGCAAATACCCATGAATTCAAAAAAGAAGAACTTCTTAATTTTTTTTTGAAATTAAAGCAAAAATTTAAGAGCCAATATGCGAAATGGCAAAAAATGATACTTCGAAATTTATTAAAGTTATTTACATTTGCTTTCAAAAAGTGCTCAAAATTGTCACTGCAACCAATTCTTGAAAAAACACTTCAGTCAGAGGGATGAACAGAGTTCAGGTGGGAAACTGAAGTCGATTTCCCCACAAAGACCATAAAATAATCCAATTTTTTTAAAATGAGGATTCGTTTTCTGTTCATCATTGCGAAGAGAAAGTAATGTAAAAATAATTGATTAACAAACTATCTCACAAAATTTACAGATCTCACAGATTTTTCCAGTAATTGTAATTTTGTACAATGGCTCAGGAGCATACGTGAAAAAGCTATAAAATAACTGACTCTTGTCCTTTGAACTAAATTTAGTAACTAAATACTGAAGCTGGGGCCGTGCAATTTTTTTTCTTCGAATGCTTCGAAATTATCTGCAGATATATGTTTTTTTTAGCACGGTGACTTTTTCCCAATTTATATCAGCTATTTTGTCTACATTTTGGAAAATTTTAGTTAATGAGCCAAGTGAGGATAACGAATTTTCTCGAGGGGTGTATGGTGGACTTTCAGTATAGTTTCAATTTTTTTTAGGTCTACCAACGTTATTTTCCAAAAAAGGATGCATTAATTTTAAAAAAAAACGCGCCAGAAAAAAACGCATTGAGGCTTATTGAAAAATTTTGACCAGAAAACTGCGAATTTTGAATTCAAAATTCGTTTTAACTACACAGCCTATGATCTATTTCGGTTGTAAATCTTTTCTCTTCTGCCTAATATCTAAGAATAAAAATGCCTGAGAAATAAGACCGACAGGGTCAGTGAATTTAGTATTTTCAAATGTTGGGTTTTTAATTTTCTTGCATTTCTCATTTTCTATTTTTAAAGCTATTTTACGCCGTTTTTTCGATTGTTTGCCGGGGCAACTTCGACTCTGTCTTCAACTCATGTCCTTTTTTTGTTTTTCGGTACAAATTTTCTTGGTTTTATCTTTTTTTTAGGAAAAATTGTCTCAAGTTATTCTTTATTGTGTTTAATTATTGGTAGTCATTTGCTGAAAGATGACAAAGTACGCTATCCCATGGCAAAAGTGCCAATGGCCCAAAAACTATTAAAAATGGACTTAGAGTTTCAGAATTTTCTGCAGAATTAAAAGAACACTTTTTAACCTAGTTTTCCTTGAGTGCGTTAATAAAAAAGGGTCAAGAAGAAAAATTTTGAGAATCTAAAAAGTTAAACGTGAAATAATCTGTTATCATAAAATTAAAAGTTGAAAATTGTTTTTTAAAGTTTTTTTTGCTTAACCTAAGTTCTTTGACACTGCCAGTTGTTTGTTGGCTGTTTTTTGAAATTATAAATATCGGTTTTATCTAGACTAGAAAAGTTTCAATAAAACATATCACTCAAATTTGATGGACTTTTCGATTTGGTACCTAGTTTTGCGTTGAAAAAAAAATATTAAAAAACAGAATGCAACCTAATTTATTGGAGCCGTTATTTTAAACGCGCGCTGGACATCAAAACGGTCGCAAGTATATTTTTTGGTGTGTGTATTAAGGGCGAGGGGGACTTCTTGATTTTTTTTTGTCTTGAAGGGTTTCTGCTAAGGTGTTTTTGACCTTTTTACCTCTTGATAATTTTTCTTGCGATGCTAAATTCACATTCTTTCGACTCATATAATTGTTGTATCGCAAGTAATTTGAAGCTCAGCTTCGACTCTGTGTTGAGAAAGTGTCAACCATAAAAAGCGTTTAGGTCATCTATTTTTATGGTTGACACTTTAGGTCATTTTTTTCTGATTACTTGCTTTCATAGACAACAAACGCAGATTATGGTGAGCTTCGAACTGGCGTGTCTCCTTTAAAAAATTTCAATACAATTTGAGCACGTGAAACGATCTATGAAACTTCAGTTGTTGTTTTTAACTGCTCTTCTGCAAACCTGCTGTTCAAATGAAGTTTTTTTGCTAGGTCTTTCAAGCACTTTTGATCCCAGTTCAGCCTTTGCTGTGCAAGTAGCATAAGAAGTTTTATTAAAAGTGTTTGTTTGAATTACGCAGCCTACGATGTAACTGAATTTTCAAAATCGTGTTCTCCACTTCTGATATCTCAGCAATAGAGTAAAACTGTTGAGACAAACGGCCTGGGTACGGTCAGTTTTTTGCGCGGTTGTTTTGCGTATTTGCGAGCTGAACTTTTTTGCTATGTTGCTTATCGGTCCAGTTTTTGCTATGACGGTTAGTTTCATTAGCCATTTTGTCTAGGTTTTGCAAAATCATAGATGACAAGGTGATCAAGTGAAGAAAAGACGCAGTTTAAAT